GGATGCACCCCTGCTAGCTTTCGTCACCTACCCTCGGCCTCAAGTTTACAAAAATGTATGTATGCACACAGTATACACACTATCTCTTCTAGACTCTATAACTTTGTTGTTTGGTGAAACTATGTTGATAGGGCTGGTCAAACTACTGTCTTTGTCACTGCAACTCATGCTGACATCATCTACAAAATAACAAAATCCAAATTCCAGATTTTTGATTTTTCCAATTTTGCACAAATGTGTCTGCCAATTGGTGTGTCCTATCTGGAGCTTTGTTCAAGGAATTGCATCGTGTTTCCTGTCCACTTTTCAAATCATGCTTGACATCACCCGGACTTGTCCAAGTGCACTTGCACAACTGACTTGGGAAACGAATCAACATGTATCCGCCCGCAACCATTTGTTGGTCAAGCTTGGGTTGTTGAAGTAATAACTTCATTTGTTGAGGCTGGCGGCTGGCGTTGAAAGTGAGACCAGCCGCTTTTGTTTCTTTTGAGTCTTCAGGATGTTGGTAAGCTGCAAGCGGCCCGTCACAACAGAGGCATGCGTCCATTGCCTGGGTAGTCAGTTTTGTTGAGCACTGATGCCAGGAATTGCTGGAACCACTTTTCAAAAGGAGCCGCTTGCACGATGTCTCGATGGTTGGGTCGGATTCCAAAGCCTTTGATTGCGTTCTTCGCGAACATTCTTCTTATCAAGTTCTTCGTATCAAGGCCTGACGAGCCTTCACCGGTTGCAGTTCAAGAGGTTCCAGCCTCGGTCCGTGGTACAGGTTGCTTAGGGACCAAAAGCACAACACGTAAACAACACAAAAGGACTGATGGGATCGAAAGGGATTCGGCAGTTGGCAGGCTTCGAGCTGCGACACCGACTTTGTAGAAGCAGCAGCAGAGGCTGTAGAAGAAGCAGAATTACGTCGACCTGTTGATTCGCAGGAGCAGATCTACGCGTTTTTGCAACTTCTTTTATGTGTGTGGAAATTTCCAACAACTTTGTTTGGCAAATTCAATTCCCAACAATTTTTGTTATGTGTGCGGAACCCAGATTCATGAACCAATTGAACTCTATGAAGTGCTGCTAGTGATTCTCAGCTCTCAACTCTACTGTCGTGTCATTGAAACCAGTGAGAAAGAGTGGATCAACCATTCTTTTAGCTGGAGAGGATCAGCCTGCATTGAAGCGACTTCGTGGTATGATCGAAGGATCTAATGCCTCGGAACTGATCTTACAGTTGTTTTCACAGGATGGTGTTGTTGCAGTCATTCCATTTTGGTCGAGCTTTGTTTATTGGTCATCATGCTCGGTATTCTGTGAGCGGCATGGACCTAGGCCTCGTCGTCTGAAGCCAAAGAGGCCTGATGTTTCTTTGAACACCTTTGAAAAGAGCAGTAAAGAGTGTACCTTGATTGTGCCCCATCAAGGCTTCTGTCAACCACTGGGCAGAAGCCCTGGTAAAGTCTCTTCACTGCTGTCCATCCGTGGAGCAGGCCTCTTCAGCATGCCCACACTATTCTATTTTAGCCGGTCTTTTTATGGCCAACACTTTTCCAAGATATCTATTTCCGTACCAAAACCATTTGACAGACGGAGAGAAGGTTTGCTTCGTAACAGGCTGTGCAGCGATGTGGTGCAGCCTGGCATAAGATCATCTACTTACTGTAAATACAGGGTGACAATTGACTCTTGAAGTGCTTTTGCTTCTGAGGTGGCACTCACTGAATTTGGATCACAGGTTCGTTTGGCAGCCCTTCGCGAGGCCATATTGTTGCAGCACATGTTGCGACTTGTAGGTCAGGTCATGATGGGCAGAGTCAGGTAGATGCCAGAAGATTCAGTGTCAGTGACAGTGATGAGCTGTGTTCGCAGCTGCTCTGGCTCACTATGTTGCATGCCCAAATGCAAATGGCTGTCGAAGAGAACATGACGTTGAACACGAAGTGGATGACTCGTGCCAATCGCAGTTCTAAGAGACCTCGTGCTCCATCGTGCTTAAGGTGCCATCGGTACACCAATTGGCTGTGCGTACTGGTACTGATCCTTGGAGTCACGCATTGCCAGCGCTGGGTTCGCGTCTATGCTGCATCCCAAATGCATGAAGAGACCATTAAGCTCAGGACGCTGCCAGAAGGGTGGTAGCTCCAGCTATAGTTCTTTTGAGTTGAAACTAGTGCTGAAAGGGATGCCGACATATTTTTGACACGTTTTTCGATTGTCAGGTATGCAAAATTTTGTTTGTTTTGGAGTGTATGTGTCAGGCACCAGGAGCATTGTGCAACTTTTGAATCTGGCACGTATCGTACCGCCATGTGCAACCCACACACACACACACAAGCACACACACACACAAGCAAGCACACACACACACACGGTATGTAAACCTTTCATAGCACCTTTGCTCCAGATGGCATGGGTAATCCTAGCGTCCTACTGCTAGGAGCGTGTTAAGTAATGGCGGGCTAAAGGAGAAGAAAACAAAGAGCGGTATGGTGTAACTGAGATTAGTCCAGAAACTTCTGAGTCGATGATTCCAACAGAAGACGTTTGGGTACTACTTTTCCACCAGTGGAGGGTCCTCTGCTTAGCGGAGCGCTATTTACAGTCATGCGCACAGCAAACCTTGCATGATACTAGCAGGTTACACACGCACTCGAGATTGAAAGTACGTACGAAGGCCGCCAAATGCCCTGAAGATGCCTGAGTGAAAAGTTGTCTGAGCGGTAAACCAGGTGTTCCATAATCCTATTGCAGCGGCGTGTAGCCGTCCGTGAAATCCAAAGCAAATCCAACCCCGTCAGATCAAAATGGGCCAAACAAAGTCTCCAAGTCCAAATCGCAAAGATGCAAGGTGAAAACTCGACTGCCGAACGCAAAGCGATGCAAAGGCCATTGACTTGTTCTAATCAAGAGCGGGACCAACTGCGTAGGACCCATCAGCTGCACTTATATAGATGCCCAGGCGCGGCCGGTAGCAGGTACGCTTGCACATGCGTTGCGTGAGCGTCTTCGTTGGCTCTTGTCTTATGCAAGCTCCAAGAGCATTGTTCTTCTTGGCGGAAAACGTGAATCCAAGGTGTACACACACAACGTGAATGGAATAAGTAAGTTGAGTGGAGCTTTAAAGAGGTGTGGTAACCCGTAACCTCCTGAGTCCACGGCCTGGCAATGCAAGGGAACTCCAAGCTTTGTTCTGGAGGACATTGCCGCAACATTTGCTATACAGCCAGGGCAGAGAAAACCATGCAACCAGGGTGAGTTCTCAATTTGCATCTGAAGCGCCTCCTGGACACGAAGCGCAGCGTCTCGGCTGTGCATTAAAGTTGCGACTGGCTATGTGTTTGGCTCAAGCCTTGAGCAAGCTCGTCAGGTTCGAAGAGAATCAAAGCAAACTTCCCGTTTTGCTGGCGCTCGTCCTTGTTTGTGGTGGGCTGGTTCTTCGACAAGATGCAATTGCAATCTTTGGTGTCTATCAGACTCTTGAAACAACTTGGCAAGTGCAGCTATATCTTTTTTTGGCATACTGGCAAAGTTGAATAGAGACAACTTTATTTGGTTTGTTTCCCAGTCAGGTTTTGCTGTGTTATGACAAGCCAATCTATCTTGGAGTCCTTTCATGTCTTATCACGAGCATCATTTGACGCGCTTGAGCTCTACAGTGAGTTCGCGCTCATGACGCCCGTGCTTGCCAAGTCACTGACTTCAGGAGACCTGGAACTGGATATGCTGTGGGGGAGCCATTGGGGGCCATTGCGGGGAGCCAGCAAAAACTTTCCCATGCTTTGGTTCCGACGGGTTTTGTAGTTGCTTCGCACTGCTGAATGTTCTTAGTGCTCAGCATTTGCTTGCTTTCTTCTGCATGTTCTTTGGCACCGCAGCCCGATGCTTACGAACGACTTGACTGAATTTTCGGACTCTTTCTTGCATTTTTTACTCAACACTAGGAGCAAGGACGCTACTAGGAGCTCCTGGCATCGCTACTAGGAACAAGAAGCTACTGGGGGCTCCTGACCTCATCCTGCACCGACACTAGGCAAACTTCCTTTGCTGTGCCCATCATGGCCCCCAGACTGCTCCCAACCCCTAGCATCACTGGATTGCTATTCCTTCGCTTGCACAACCACCATTTGTATAATCCTAAACCGCATCGAAACTGACCATGTGTGGGCGGGCAACGTTCAACCGTCATCATGAGCAGGCGCTATAAGAGTTTTTCCCTTCAAACTGGTCCTCCAGCCGTCCTACAGTAAACAACATCCTCTGTATATATATATATAGTTGTAATTACAGACGACAGATTTGTGCAGTTTGCTATTGAATGGTGTGAACTGATATATATATATATATATATGTTGAAAGAATACCTTTAGTGCTCATCTTGCCTCGTTGTCCTTCGGAATTGGATTCTTGGAGGAGTTGCATACATCATGGGTGATATGATTGCACAAATTCTGGAAGGCAGTTCCGTGATAGACTTCATTCGATGTGGTCACAATGCACTAGCCGGCAGCTTCCACTTCGATACGCTTTATAGAAAATATTTGTTTCCAGTTCTGTCAATGGCCCATGGCGGTAAGTGTAGCTCTTGCAACTGAACATATCTTAAATCTGAGGCATGGTTTTGCATGGGCCACTTCTTCATTATTGGATCCTGCTTTTAGAAGGACAGTTGCCTTGCGTCAGTGTGTTCACAGCTGTGTGCATGTGCGCGTGCATTGCTTCCAGGGCCCTTCTCTGGCTTCTTTTGGAATCCAGAGGGCTGGCGGTGCACTGTTGTGAAGGTGGCATTGGATCAGACCGTATTCTCCGGCTTTCTGAATGCTGTTGCTTAGCGGAACACTTGCAATGTGTCATTTCGTTTGGATTTCGCCCTTTGGCCGCCAAGGCCTATGCCATTGTCCTTGGACTCCTAGCAAGAAGAAAGCTGAAGGAGACCTTTCATGATCTTCGAAGAACACTTCCTGCAGCGATGTGGTCTAGCTGGCGGTTTTGGCCGTTCGTGCATTTGGCCAGTTGCTCAGGTATGAACCGAGAATGAGTGAAGCTGCAATGCTACCTGTGCAGCAGAAAAGTTTTGCATACTCTCTTGCCCATGCTCAGGTCACATACTCCCCGATCATGCCCATTCAACTGAAAGTGTTGTGGAATGACTTGGCGGAGGCGAGCAACTCACCGACAGTTTGAGCCTGACTGACTTGCAGTCTCAGCATGCGACTTGCCATGACGTGCCTATCTTAGCAGCGCAAGGTAGCTTGGGTTGCCATCCTCTCGCTCATCGCCAATGCAAACAACAACTCGTCGAAATGCACCGACAAGGCACCAGTTCTAATGGACTTTTAGTTTTGCTCCCTCTTGCAGGATCCATTGTTGCGGCAGTGCACGCCTTCTAGAAGTTTCTGTTGTGTCCATGAGAGGGAGTCAACTCACACCTCATCTAAAGAGTTTGCCAGCTTTGTCATTCCTACATATAACGCAAGGGAATTTGAGAAAGATTTGCTACACAGTACTACATAGGTCACGTTCTGTGTACGTGTGTGAATGCAAGGACGTGGGTGACCGATAGTGGAGGCAGTTTTTGCATCTCCAGATCCTGCTTTGTGTTTTGTGGAGAAGAACTTTCTTTTGGAGAGCGATTCTACTTCAGTAGGAAGACAGTTTCTTCTTCTCACTTGGTCTTGCAACATCTATGTCAGTGTGGGATAGTCAATTATCACCCTGTTTTGAAGTGAACATTTAGAAAGCTTTGGAGGGAACAAATTCAACCGCGTCAGGTGACATAAGTGTCTTGCAGGTTTGCACGGGGAAAAGGTCTTTTGGAACCTTCAAGACTGGTGGTGTATACGCTTTGTAGCCCAGGAAGAGAGTAGGAATGTGCATGATTCTTTTTCCAGGACTTGGCTGTGGAAACTGTGGTCCGAACTGTTTAAAGTTTGCTTTGTTGCCGAGTGTGACATAAATTGACCTCAGATGGCAAAAGGATTGCTAAAGGACATCCTACAATTGCCTTCCAAGGTTTGAATCCTGTAGTCGACGGCTCCTTTTCCAATATTTTTGTACAGAATGGCACTTGCAGCACCGTCAACCAAAGGTTGATCTTCATGTGGTTCCGAAGCTCAATTCATTTTTGCAACTGAAGAGCTGCACCACGGACATAAGACTGTACACATGTCTCACGTGCCATCATTTACCTACCCGTGTTTTGGCGGCGGGCGACATTAGGAACCCCATCGTAATTGTGTAGTTGGCCCACGGATAGACGGCCGTGGGCTTTTCTTACCTTTCTTTTTTTTGATATATTGTTTTCTACAGTACTACGTGTGGGATATTTTGTTGGGGGGGGTGAGGGATAAGTTCCCCAAAGTGGCAGTGAAGTACACTGGACCTGATCGATAACACCAAGTAATACCCAATAGACTCGATGGCGGAGTGTCGAAGTGTGCGAACGTCAGAGAGCACACTTTTCTATGGCGCGTGGTGCAATGCGGGCTCTAGTGATCTTGAGCCAAAAGCAATGAATTAAGCTGTAAAGCTACCAAGAAGAGTATCTACAATCAAGTACGGACAACAGGTGCTAGCCAATATATAGCGTAGGCACGTCTAGGGGGACCCTAGAACACTACAAATCACAGGGGGTGGGGGGGTGGGGGTGGGGCTAATTAGCACACCTGTGGCGTAGCATGCTATCTACTTCAGTTTATTTTCTTGCAGGCTTCATTCGGTTAAACACACTGCATCTCTTTTTGGCTCAGTTCAGAGATGCCGCAAGCTTTGTTTCTTTTTTTGGTGCGTTTCATTGGTTCTTTTGTTGCGGTGTGCGGGTTTTGTGGACGTGGACGAGGTACCCCTGGTTCTTTGGTTTGGAGTAAAGTTCGTGGTGGGGATCCTTTGGTTGGTTTGACCCTCGGAATAGTTTTGGACCAGGACCGTTGGTGTTTGTATTTTCAGGGTTTGACGGACTACTCAGAATTTTTGTGGGGTTTGTGGCTAGCAGTGTGGGAACGTAACTTCGAGACTGGTACAGGTTTGTTTCCTTGGTTGCAGCTTTGTTGGTCTTTACAAACGACTTTGGCCGGTGGGCTCCATGTCGATACCACATGGACCTTTGTGGCGCAACTGGAGCCAAACCATCACGCCAAGTCGTTCTATCAGATATCAAAGGACACATTTTCATTCATTACATACTCACTATATTCAATGTTGATAAATATATGACTAGTTTTCTTTATATTTATCAATGTATATGACTCCCACCGCTTGGAGCAGCTCCTGTCAAGAGTGAAAAAGTCGCACACATGTCCGACGACTAAAGTAGTTGCGTAGTTTCCAAAGTGCTTCGAAATCGCCATTTCGCCTCAGCGAAAAATTGATTTTATCGAAACCTGCGTGGAATTCACCGTGATTCCAGTGATGAAGTGTCGCTCACATCACTCCCAATGGAATTATGCATATTTAATTAAGATTGATTACCCCACGACCATCCTTCATCACCCCACATCACCCCACATCACCATCAGTTGTCATGTTTTCCTTTTTCCCCGCGCAGCCATTTGGCTTTGATGTGATCAATGAGGAATTTGAACTTGGGTGGTTTGGTTTCGTTGTTTTTGGTCTTCTTGCCGTGACTGTCTAGGAAAGATGATTTGACTTTCCGGGTCCTTTGAAGCAGTTTTTTACCATTGATCCTGATTACGCGCACTCTTTGTTGAAACTGGGAATGGCTGTGCGGTCTGACTGCTTAGAAGACTTGTGCCTCAACATAGTTTTGGGCGAGGATCGGTTCCCCATACTTTGTGCGATCTTTGGACCACTCTGTAACAAGAAGCTACTAGTAGCAAGGCATCGCTACTAGGAACAAGGGCATTGCTCCGAGTAGCAAGAAGCTACTAGTAGCTAGTAGTAATGCCTAGCTGTTGGGAAACTCTGTCGCAATGCGTCACGGAATGGATGCGCAACGACGCTTTTTCACTGGTATGTACACATGATTTGCACTTGTCCTTCAGAACCCCTGATTTTAGTTTTTGAGCCAACACATGCTTGTTCAGATTGAATATAACAAACACAGCAAAGACACAGAACACGAACTTTCATCAAATAACTTTCATCAAATAACTATATACACACTGCCTATGTTCTGATAACTGCACAGTGGACTTAAAACGACCATACAGGAACTGCAAAACAGCACCTTAGTTTTGCACGCTCTTCACATCGTGCAACCAGCAGCAGCAGCAGCAGCAACAGCGGCAGCAGCAGCGGCAGCGGTCGCGGAGGCGGCAGCAGCAGTAGCAGCAGCACCTTCTTGTTTTCTGTTTCCGAGGTTTGATACGACTGAGACAAGACCACCAAAACTCAAGGACTCCCACCAAGCCCAAAAATGTGCATGCGCTGCAACGAGTCAAGGGAAGCGCCTGTGCCAGCCCACCAATTTTCACGAGCCTGCCCAGTCGAAGATCTCGAGCGTGAATTTCCCGTAAATAGCAGCGAAAGAATCCCTAGCGTGAACACACTGGTTGGGGGAAAGCTTACATATCAACTTGGAGACACGCCAGACCAACACCAAGAACATTTTGGGCTGCCCCGCAAATCAAGTTCAAACAGTGTTGTTGAAAGCAGGTTGAGACAAGGTGCGATTGTAAGATGTTCAGCAGTTTCTGCAAAGGCTTGTTGGTTATGAGGCAAAGTCGTAAAAACCTTGATCCTTAGTTCTGCACCAAGAACCACAATGCTTTTGGAACCAACGGTTCTTCTCAAACTTTGGCGCCTTTTCTGCAGAGGGTTTCTGAAGTTTTATTGTTTGTGTTGGGAAACATCAATTGTTTCGTGTTGATGACGCCATTGCTCAAAAACAACAAAGCTGCAAACCCTGAACAATCTCAAATCTTCTTCTGCTTTTGCAAGCTCTTTTCCTTGTTCATAATTTAGAGTATAGAAGACTAGAGTAAAGTAGAGTGAAGCAGCACTTTTGGGACCATAGTTGAGAAGAGTAGAGTTTGTTAGATGTTTTGGCTGTCATGTCCATGGGTTGATTCTTTTCTCCCACTTCTTCCTCGCAACCTCACTTCTTCGTCGCTTTTCCCGTCACTTCCTCACTGCCTCTTCTCGCCATTGTGTTTGGATTTTTGCACTTCTTCTTTGACTTGCCTATATTTTTCAATTTTACAGTACAGATTCTAATGCCACTCATTCTTTTGTTGTCATTTAACCGTCACCTACATCGGTTTGATTTTATCACAGAGTCTCCGCAAGAGAACTTGCTGCTAACTTGTTTTAGTTCTGTGACCGCGTTTGCTTTTTCAAAGGCCTGCTGCTGTGCAGCGTCCGTGGTGTAGCCTCCCAGTTGTGCGAATTCACTTGCAACTTGCAACCTGCAAGAATGCGGCTTTCTCCCTTTGATGCAAGTCAACTGTCGAGAACCCGTCCGACGTCCAACTTCAGAATCGCTGAAGGCCAGCTGAATCTGAAAAGATTCCAATACCAAGTGATGTGCTGCAAAATAGACAGGACTCAAACAGCAAAGGACAAAAAAGGTGCTTTGGCATAAGCTGCCTTTACCAAAGTTTTTGCTGGACCTGCTTTGGTTGCCTGGGTGCACAGGCTCTTTTTGCCTTCAGTCCCTAAACCTTACCTTTGGCAATCGCAAATGCTGTTCCTTGTGTGAATTCTGCAACAAGGCGGAACAGACACGCGAAGAGATGCGGCCCAACACGATTGAGGCTTTTTGTGTGAACATTCTAATTTAATTCTAATAGCTTCTTGTTACTACTAGTAAGGCACTTGTTACTAGAAGCGATGCACTTGTTCCTAGTAGCGTCCTTGTTCCTACTAGTAAGGCACTTGTTTCTAATAGCTTCTTGTTACTACTAGTAAGGCACCTGTTACTACTAGCGTGGCACTTGTTACTAGTAGCTTCACTGAACATGCTGTATGTCACAGCTTTCATATTTGCATGCACTTTGGTCTTTTTGTGAGTGCGTGGTGAGACGAAGGCAACATGCTCTCGTCTTCAGTCCACAAACAAGGCAGCCGTTGTGCGGAGAGTAGCTTGTGCAAGACAAGACAGCGTCCTTGCAGGTGCTCCTGAGAGCTGTCCCGCTCTCAACCGATTCCAGCTTCCCCTCCAGCTTCGACATGCAATGCTAGACAGACTGATATAGACTAGAGTTTTGCTGGCGCGGAAATGAAAGGGTGGGTTGGCAATTACTGTAGGCAAACATTCATTCCGTGCTTCGGTTTTCTTCTTTTTCCGGCAGGCAACACTTTTTTTGCCCAGCACCACAGGTCCCAACTGAACAATGAGCAAGGAGCATTTGCCCATTGCTTCACTTGTTTATTTTTCCTTTTTTGTGGTCGTGGCAGAACTGAACCATGAACAAAAAACAACTTCGAATTCTTCATCATGGAAATGAGTTTGGTGGCTGACTTGGACCTGTTTTTGACGCTTTAGCTTCTTCAGGTCCATCATTTAGCAGAGCGTTGCCGTCGACTGGAAGGTAGCTCTGGTGAGGTGGAGCCATCACTCAAGACTGGACTAACTTGTGCTGGGAGGTGAAGTACCTGAAGCAGTTGACTGTACATGACGGCACAAGCATTCCACAAGCACATTCAAGATTGGCGCTGATGCAAGCCTGCCGGAAAAATGCAACATGTAGCAAATCCTACCGGCGCAGAACATTCGGGAAAACTTTACCTTTCTTGCCTGAACATTGATAGTTTCCTTTCCACTGAACAATTACGCACCCATTTCCCTTGTTGAGAATTGTTAAGGAGGCCCGTGTTGTTTGTTCCTGTGCAGGTTCAATCCTTGAGGCAGGCTTTGGAGCAATCCCAGGAAGCGCAGCGCAGGCTGCAGCACTCAAACCAAGTGCTTCAGGCCAGGATTTTTCGAAGTTTTCTGCGTGGCCGATTTGCTGAGCATTTGCCTTCAATGTTCGCAGGAGCACCTCAAGGTACACCTGAATGCATGCCATTTAGCTGGAGATTAGTGGCCGCAAGCCAGATTTGACTCTCACACCCTCGCAATGTAGGTAGACGTGGACCAACAAAGTTTTTCCCACTTTCGTGCTTTGGCTACACGTTTCCAGCAGTTTGGACATGGGACTTTCTCAATGTTGAGATGCTACACTAGCAGCTTTTTGCTATACTGGCAAACAACGTGCTTTCGAAGCTGACGCCCGACTCTACGGTGTAGCAAGATCGACTTCCAGGGTCTCACAGAAGACTTACGGAACATGTACAAAAGATGAGCAGCAACTTTGACACGAATCTGGACCACGCCAGATAGTCAGAACTCCCAACCAAACCTGATCAGCACCATCCAATATGGTGATAAGAATGGATTTTTGCTTTTCAACTGGTGTATGTTGGCATGATGATTGAAACTCTGTTTACAGAGATGCGATCTTTTGTCAGTTTGTATCAACATATGTATATATATATATATACAGTGTAGAATACACCCGTGTTTCAAGCACGTACATGCTTTGGGTCCGGATATTACCAGTGTCTGTGCTGCTTGCTGCTTACAGCAGTGCTCATGCTAGGCATGTCTTGGTGTGGGGGCTGGGCATGACATGAATTGAAACTGAATAGCAAAAGTAAGCGAGAGCCGCAAAGCAAATGCGTTTGTTTAAACATTAAGAATTGTTTTGCAGTCTTCTTGTTTGGCTGAACCCCCCTGATTGTGATTGCACCAGGGCATTTCTTCAGCGCTGGCCGGTTTCTGTTTCGTTGGCTGCTGCATGGTGTCCCGTCTAGATTGAGACGTGGATCCAATCTGGGAAAACAATGACCCAACGAACAGCGATTCTCACAGGTTTTTTGTGCTTGAGGGTCATTCTCTATACTTTCCAATCGGTTGGGTAAGAAAGCACTTACAATATGCTGTGTGGCAAGATAGCCGACAAAATCCATGCTTGGGCAAAATTAGCCCGGCCTAGCCTGAATTGCAAACGGCGGCTCGCTGTGAATGTGGTTCTGCCAGTCGCCGCATTTGGCTGTGTGATGCGCCTTGAAGCGGAAGATGGAAAGAAAAAGGTGCAACACAAGAATGCTTTGTACAAGAGATGCTGGCCACACTATGCTTTGAACTTCTTTGGGAAGCTCTTTCCAAGCAAGTAGGACCTCAGCTATGATGACTATGATGTAGCCTTCCATTGCAAATCATTAAATCACCGCCTCTTGACGATATGCAATCAGTTTGGCTCTGGTGTTTGATCTGGAAGGAACCGGTCCAATTCTGTAAGAGGCTTTTTTTTGGAGCTACAACTCGCAAAAAGGACTGCTTATGTCAATACATGTCATTTTATAATATACTCATTTGCAGCATAACAATCGGAATGTAATTGTAATATGTTACATAGATGCATCGCTGGCAGGTTGAAAGATCATCAGCTGTTTGGAAGCATATTGGTAGCTCTAGACTAGTCAATATCAGCGCAACGCGCCTGTGACTCTTCAAGCAGGCAGCTACGACATGGCTGAGGCCGAAAAACAGTGCGATGTATGGACCCCTGTATATGTGTTGCTTGGGATTTGAGCTTTAATTGAATTGTAAGGGCCTACTCTGAATCGGCCGTGGTTCTGAATTCTGGGAGCTTATGCTGATGATTTGGTTGACGTGCAGTGTCGATCCTTTTTGGCGTGGATTGTTCGTACTATACTTTCTTTCTCTATGCATGGGCACTCCGCCTTTGTGGTTTTGCTTCAGCCGATCAAATTTGGTTTGCGTTGGTTGATGTTGGTAGAGACAATTCTTGCCAGCCTTCGCAAACCTATTCTTGGAATTTTGACTGAAGATGTAGGACATATATAAATTAAGTTTTTGGCGATCCCTTCCAAGTCCTGCCTCAATACTGGATGTAAGGTCTTGAGGCGGTGTATGGGCTCAAGACATTCAATGCACACTTCCAACTTAAGGCCTTTGACCTCTGCCAATGACAGTAGGGCTGCACCGGTAATCACACCCAGAGGTGTCCCCGTTTTGGATCTATGCCTATTTCCGATGATTAATGCTTCGGGTTGCTCACAACCACCCATTTGAAAACACAATGCAACAAATCAACAAGCGTGATTACATTTTTGCCGATGAGCAAGACACTTGTGTTTGAGTCTTTCCAGAAAATACTCAATGGCCATCACGTCGCTCGCTTTCTGAATTGAGAGTCCTCGTGCAGCTGTTTGCCTTTGGCTACTTTGTCCTGTGCTGTTGGCTGGTTTCTCCCCGCTATATTTGTTGTTTCAGTTGTGTCCTAGAGTCTTGGCTAGCTGGAACTCGTTCAAGTTGAGTGATGGCGAAACTCCTTTGGCTAAGTTGAGCGACTGATCGATGTGACCGACACGTGTTCCTATCATGTGCAAACAACCTCTCTCGACAAGCTTGCCATGCTCTCGAATCACACTTTTCTGTCGAAGCATCACGTTGTTCTATGCTGGTATATATTATATATTGTTTTGAATATTGACTTGACAAGTTCTCGCACTTTCCTGTCTCCTACTGCTGAGTATTGGATGCATTTGATCAGAGTAGGACTTTCCTTTCTTCGCAGCAAAATAGACATAGACAAGACAGATTGGGATCAGACATATCAGCAACCGAAGCTTTATGGTTCCTCATGGATTTTGGTTATCATTTGGGGATGCCAGGTAAAGCTCTTGCAGACTTGAATTGGCCAGGCTGTCCGAATCACTTTTCACTAACTGCTTTCTTCATGACCCAAAGTGCCCGTTTGTGATGTCTCTGTATCTCATTTCTGCAGACGATTCGGAAACCTCCCCTGAACCATCCCTGTGCAAGTAGCCTGGAAACTATCAACAAAAGTGTCCAGTGACAAAAGCACCATTAATTGTAGTTCCCTGCCCTGCGTCAAATCGAGCGCCAAAAAGTGAAGTAAGGCGAACATCAACTCTCAATAACCTATGTGATCTGGCATCATATTGCAAGCACTTCTTTCAAAAGATCTGGGCGCATCTCGGGTGGCAGCCTGTGCTGTTGTGAGAAAGCAAAGGGAAGCACCCTCACTGGAAAGCCTTATAGCCGTAGCCTGATGGTGAGTGTGGTCTCTGGCAACAGATTCAGTGCCACGTCCTGCCTTCCTTTCCGCTGTCCGTGGTGTGGTGCGACTGTGTTTGCGTCTGTGGCGTGTCAATGTTGGCTGGAAGTCAAAGCAGTTTGATGGAGTACTTGTGCACTCATTTTTCATGATGTGTGCGAGATGAATTTTCTCGCAGGAAGTTGATTTCGATTCCAAAGAAGATTATGAGCTGTACAAAAGGCGGCCTTTGCAAGAACACAATTTGGAGTATTTGCAAGGGCATCCAAGAAAAGTCAAAGGTCAAAGATCTCAGTGTTCTGTGTTTCTGCTCGTGAGATGTCTGAACTTGCTTCCTAGAAGTGCTTGCAGGCTCATGAGTGAGCGCAGCCGCATCCAGCGAAAGGAAGAGAGAGTGAAACATACTAAGGCACCCCCTTTCCATGGAGGACTAGCGGGCATTGGCCAGATTTCTAGAATAGGATTTTGTGTATGTGGCTCTTGGGTGCGTGCCAGGCACCAAAAGCTCGACCGCTCCAAATGCAAAGACTAGAGGACGGACGACAGTGTTTGCCAAGCTCCTTCTCTCTCTCTCTCTCTCTCTCCATCTCTCTTTGTTCGCTCTTCATTGCACTTCGTGCCAAGGTTACAAACTGAAGATCTGCCATTGGTGTTGGTGTCAATACCGAGGTTTCGTCTCATGGCAAGCTGGCATGTCAAGCATCAGAAATCTGATCGGATGTGCATGTGCTTTTGTGACACATCACGCCTGGACTCTAATGTATATTTGGTGGGCGGCACACGTGGGCAAAAAGGGTTTTAGGGTCAGCCGTGGGGCACATGAGCTCAGCAACTCGCTTGATAAGAGCTCTGGCCTCCAGCTCATCCCCAAGCAAGGCCCAGAATTCGTTGAAGAAGCATGCTTTGCTCAGCATGGTGGTCAGTTTCCATTCACTCTTTTGGCTAGCAAGGGCTGAGGCGCACAAAGGGCGCACGGCCGTTTGCTGCCATTTTTGAAGCGTGTCGGCCGAACCATGGGACCCCAAAATCACAAACGAACCAACTCAATGTGCTCAAGGTCAGTAAGTATATCGAATCGAGCCGTTTGTATCGAATACAGTTCACGGCTTTCGATCCAACAGTTGGTGCCTTTGCACCTTCCGGTGCCGCGCAGTTTTGGATGACGCTGTGAGACGAGTGCAATTTGGTGGCATGGCAGAAGGGCCGCCGAAGGGCCGCTCAACGGGCTGGCCGCAGCTGCTGTGCACTGACATTGCACGATGTATCATGGCTGGCCAAGCTGATGCAGCCATAAGCGCAGTTGTCTCTCCATGATCCCCTGGAGAGGCAGCCCGTGTGCTTCAATGCCATGGAGCATGGACAGTCGAATGCGGTTCGACCAATCGCACGCACACACCCTCAAGACCAATGCAAAGTTTGCTCAGTTGCCTTTGGCGGCTTGGGGCCTTACGCTGGGTTGCGAAGATGGCACTTTTGAGCAATCATAAGGCAAAACCATAGGCAGCGAGGGTAGGCTGCCAATGCAGTTTGCGCAAAACCGTTCAAGGTTAATTCTGCCCGGTGTATTGGCTGTCAAATCAACGGAAATGTCGCTCTCCCTCCTCCATCGCTCCCTCGCTCCCTCGCTTCCTCGCTCCCTCTCTCTCCCTCTCTCTCTCTCTCTTTGTGTCTCCCCCTCTCTCTATTTCTTTCGCTTTCATTCTTCCCTTGAATTCTGCTTGTGTTCTAGCTCCCCCCAGCTATGTTTCTAGTCGCTCAACAGTTGTATGTTTGTTTTGTTTGTTTGACAAGATGCAACTAGATCAGCTAGCAAACATTAGCATCACCAAGACTCCCTTGCTCAGTGCTCATCCAAACCCTGACTCCAAACTCTGCCCCCTACAAGAACTCAATATTTAGTTTTCCAGATTTCTATGTCTCCGTCTCATGGATGGTGCAACCATTTCAGAACTTTCTTTGCCGATATGACAGCGTGAAACTGTCAACTTGTTGGTGTGCGCGGTTGATCCCGATCCTACCGGTGTTTTGGGTCCGAATGCATAGGGGCCGCAGTTCCGTCCAACGTTTGAGCACCTTTTGCCATGGACTTTGGAAAAGGGTCGCCGTGAGGTCCGAGGGTGTCCACGCTTTCACAGTGGTACCGCAGAGCTCTGGGCGGAATTCCAGGCCTAGGGAGGTGGCATGAGTGGGGACGAGCGCGAAACCCAGAGGCCAGCTGGATACGCCTCTGCCAGTCAGGACCCAAGAGCGAGAGCATCGGAGTTGGGTGGCGGCCGTGACCGAGATCCTCCACCAAGCAACGATGGCGAGAACCAGGAGCTGACGTTCCGGAACTTTGAGAAGCAGGTGAGCCTTTGGCAGTTCGAGACCGAGGTGCCCAAGGCCAAGAGAGGGGTGAAGTTGCTTCCCCAGTTGAGCGGAGTGGCAGCCAGAAGTGTCCGAGATCGCTTGCGAAGAAGGAGTGAAGAATGTGATGAACAGACTAGGGGACTACTTCCTACCGCACTTGGAGGTGTCGCTTCCACGTGCTTTTGAAGCCGCGGTCCACGGCGTACCCCGTGGCAACAAGGAGAGCTTCGCCAAGTACACCAAGCGGATGGAGAGAGCCTTTGCGCATCTTGGCAAAGAAGGGGTCGACGTCCCGGATGGTGCAAAAGGGTACATCATGTACCGACAAGCCGGGCTTACAGAAGCCCCGTTGACCTGGTCGGAAGGGAAGTATGGTCGCTCCGAGATAACGAATGCCTTGAGGCGCTTGGACAAGGTCATCCGCGAAAAGAGCAAGGGGAACCATCTCACACAGAAGATCTTTCTCGCTGAGGACTCGGCGGGTGGCGCCTGCGTGTTCTTGGCCGATGGCGACTTAGATGAGATGATGGATGAACAGGATGTGATGGCCGCTTTGGCCGCATACCAGGACACTCGCCTGGCCTTGAAGGATCAGCGACTTGGCAGGGGCTACTTCCCAGGCAAGGGCAAAGGCAAGCTCAGAAAGGGAAGGACAAGGGCAAGCGGCGAGTTCACATCGGGCAGTTGAAGCTGAGGACACGGTGTCGTCGCTGCCAGCAGATAGGCCATTGTGAGAGGGAATGCCAGAACAACCCAGCGCCTCGTCCCAACCTTTCTTTGTTGATTGTCAGATCCCAGCGGGCATGGTGGACACGGCAGCTGAAGGTGGATTGGTTGGAAAGCTCCCCTTCAACGTTTGGAACAGGAACTCGCCATGCGGGGGCTTTGCGTCAAGTGGGTTCCTAAACAGACCTCCGCAAAGGGGGTTGGTGCAGGGTGATGTTCCTCTTCTTTTACCCGTTCGTTTGTTGGCAGCTTTGGAAGTGTTGATTGACATGAAGCACATGGTCACGCTTTTGCAATCGCACGACATCACGGTTCCCCTCCATCAGTTACCTAGCGGTCATGTGACGGTCAACATCCTTCGCCGACGGCAAGTTCGTGGTTCCTCCGGAAGCGGGGGAGCCTCATGAGTTTGAGTTGAGAAGTTTGTGCTATTGTCAGCAATGCCGGCTCAATTTGACGGTGTCGCTCAATTCGATCAGCCCAAAGACGCCCATTCCTCACCTTCTATACCCATGACGTCGCTGCTTCAGAAGGCAAAAGCTTTGGTGGGGACAGCTCCTACGGTGGATCCTACACCTATGGAGATCGGGCGCCGGGTGCACAGCCCAAAGCGCAATTGGCGCGTGGTCATGGACAAGATCGGCGTGCTCCTGGTGCTGGCGGCTTTGCAAGACGCCACAGAGGCTTGGTGCTTGGAGCTGGGCTCGCAACGTTCGGGGCGCAAGTCTATGGAAACCATCCAGGATTACTATGGTGAGGTGATCCTTCGTGCACCGCCCGTGAATCCGTGAAGCCCCTCCAAAGCAAGGCTACACCGACCGTTTCCGCGAGTAAGCCTAGTGCGTCTGTGTACGTCCCTTGTGGCCAGTGCCACGCGCGGCCATGCTATGCCTACCCGGGACAGTACGTGACAATGCCACAGCCAAGCTCCCACAAAACGGAAGCCGCGAAGAGAACAGCGCTCTGATTGGACAGGGAAAGGGGCCTCCACGAAGAAGCAACATTCCAAAGGACATGGTAGGTCCTCCAGTGCAACGCGTTGACCGCCTGCCCCAAGTACAACTGACACACCTCCCGGACTTTCTCCAACCGGGAAGGCAGCAGCAACTTTGAGTACAACCGCAGGCCCACCGCCTCCCTCAATGGGCAAGGGAAAGGCAAAGGCAAAGACAAGGCGGCAAAGGCAAAGTACGGTCTGGCCCGCATACTCACTCCTGGGAAACTAGGCTGCAGCTGCAGCGTCGGCAGATGCGTCCGAGGTATTCTACGCAGAGAGACTTTGCAGGAACTATTGGCCAGACGATTTGGAGCTATGGCATTCGATGGAACAAGGATGGTGAGAGTGGACAAACAGATTTGATTTTACATATTTGTGAAGAGGAGTTTCTTAGCTACCATAAATGGTAGGCCTGTTTCACCGTTTCACTGCCGGTTCGCATTCCTAAGTGGATGCCTATTACTGAGGGTGAACTTTTCATCACTACTCAGTAGTGCACTAGGATACGCATGAATAACAACATGCAGTAACTAAGCTTAACTGTACATTAGGGTAGCTACGTTCTCCTTGTATAGATGCATGCATGAGCTTGATGAAAGAAATTCTCCAGAATGTTCCTTCGTCCCTCATGAAATTCCTGTCACCCCGGAGCACCTACTCAAGCGTAGAGAAGAGGTAGCTTAGCGGAACTGCAGGGTTAGTCGAGCTGATCCTGTAAGATACAATTGCCAAAACCCATCACCGATCCCAAGAGAAAGGATGAAGGCCCGCGCTCACAACCAGGCCCAACTCACAGGCTAGAGCCGGCAATTCAATGCAACAACGATGTTTCCCAAGTTCACCACCCACCCAAGTTCACCTTTGTTTGGCTTGCACTTCCCTTGTCAAGTCTCCTGTGCAGCCTGTGCGGTTTCGAGAACTGAGTGTGTGAGGCGCCCGCCAAAATCGAACATCCATGCCCTTGGCAAACATCTTGATACCCCATCCACAAGCGCACTGGAGAGGCTTTGCTGCCAGTCAAAACCTCAAGCCTTGCTTTCTGAAAACTGAGAATGCAAATCATTGGTAGAAGTAAATCTAGTTCAATCTCAGGCTTTGTCCTTTTTGAAGCGAACATGTGGGGCAAGGCCACATGCCATGTTGGAAAATTTAAGGCCTAATTCCAACGGCAACCAGTGGTCTTCTTCCATCAATATGCAGGCTTAAACAATAATATGTATGGAATGGCCCAATGGCCTATATAAACTTAAGCTACTTTTGCTGTAGTTTTTGTCTGCAGGATCGGGAACGAGGCTTTCAACTTCATTTTGCTGGGGCCAATGAAGAGCGACTGAAGCAGGCTGTACAGATTTCAGGATGAGAGTTTTACCAGTTGCTGCGCTGTTTTGGGAATACGGGCTATGTTGCATAATCACAGGCCAAGAGACGGCAACAACAATCTCCACTGGCGCAGGCACCTGGTAAACCACCATCCAAACTTTCAAGGAATTGCCCGCATCCCGCCATATTTCTTTCGAAATTTGTCACGTGCAGGTGCAGACTTCTGAAGAGCCTGTGGCTCAGGAGCTGTTAAACTGCAATGCAAAGGTTCAGTCATGTAGCAGTGCCGCGCTTGAGCAGCTGAAATCAAGCCAAACGACAAAGGATATGTCCTTTAAGTGCAAGGGTCAGTCGTCCATCGGTGGATGACAGGTGAGCATTGAATTCCAGTGTGATTCTACATAAACGAAATTAATTGTGAAGATTGAGAACAGGGCAATCTTCTTACAGTTCAAAACCTCAGTGTCAACTTGGACTATGCAAAGGCATAAAGCCCGTAAATTCCAGGCTCCTTCTTGATCAAACTCGAACGTCGTAAGCAGATTGCACGCTGATTTGAATTGGAAGTGTACTTGAGAGCCACTGACGTGCTGCAACAAAATGTGTATTTGAGATTGAACCCTTCTTAAAAGTCAAGTTGTGAAGGGTTCAGTATCAGTTTTGGGCCAAACGCAAAGCCTCAAAGGTGGACAGCTTTAGGTTGCAGTGCTCGTCCACTCCTGGTGCTGCCAGTGTTGCTGACAAGGCCACAAAGGAAGGAGTGGCAAATGAAGACGGTTGAGCTACATGGAAAGGACAGTTGCTCCAGTGGTAAGATGAAACCGAAGCTTCGCAACCAGCTCAACAACCCCCCGATTTTGATGCCTCTCGATTTCTACACGGAACCAAAACTGTCCTTTTCTGAGCATATTGGCATATTCAGTTGAGGATGGAGAGATCTATCGTTCTTCACCCCATGCTGGGAGCGCGCAGGCAAGAAGCATTCTGAATTCTGAGCATTGAGTTTTTTGCAGTAACAAGTGCATCGCTTCTAGTAACAAGTGCCTTACTAGTAGTAACAAGGTTGCTGTTTTCGAAAAGGGCCCGAGTTGTGAGCTGGGCATTTGTGCGGATATGATATACCGTTGAACGCGTCTTTTCTTTTCTCTCTTTTGGGCATAGTGCGTGCTCACATAGTTACAAGTTGCAGTGCTTGCTCCTGATCGCTGTTGAGCCTTCAGCTCTCTCAGCAATTTTTGTTAAAAATCACTACTGAGAATGCACCACGACAGGCATCACGGGAAATTGTATCGCTCTCATGAACGAATCATCAAGCCAATGATAATCACTGGCAGAGTCTGTTGATTATTAGAAGGCCGCCGGGACTCAGCGAGCAAGCTGGATTGATTTGCAGGGTTTTCATACAGTCGTGGCAAGTGCTTTGGCCTGAATTGCCTGCCACCGGCGAGCCCGGGGATTGGACGTTTCAATATCCTGGCCTGGCAGTTGTGTAGCAGGAGGTGAGTTGTCCCGGTACAACGGATACGGTGATGCGTGTGGCTTTGTATGGCGCGGAGAGAGCAGTGAGTAGTGTTGTAAAGGCTGACCTCTTGCGATCCGAGGTGGCTTGTTTGGGCTATTATAGAGGCACAGTGATTTCGGATCCAATGTACCCACGCGAGCCCACTGGGCCACAGCACAGTTTGCGCAGCCACACCAGTTGGCAGGACAACGTGCGCAGCAAGCATACTGGCATATTCCAAATAAGTCACACTTGCTGTAGCAGTCCACACGTGCTCGATCGGCAATATACTGTGTGAGCTGGGAGAATATGTCTCAAGGAAAACCGATGACAAGCAAACAAATGCTTCATAAATAGCGGACTGTTTTTTTTGTACCCGGTAGGGTTTTTTTTGGATCTGTTTCCGGGGTACAGGGTTTCAAATAGTACCGTTGGGTTGGGAAGTTCTTTTTTTCAGAGTTGTTTCCGGGGTATAGGGTTTCAATTGGCACTGCTTCCGGGGTATAAGGTTTCAAACAGTACCGTTTGGTTGGGCAGGGCCCCTGCGGCAAAACTTCCACTTGCGGCCTGTGCGTCCCTGTGGCAAGTCTATCCACTTGCGGCGTGGCAAGGCTATTTGGGCACCTCTGTGGGGTT